TAAGAGATAGTTCCTCCTGAAACTGTTACGAAACTGAACTGGAATGGTTGTATCTGCAACTAAATCATCATTTACAATTTCCAGTTGCATAGAAGTAACAAGGGACTGTCTTCGCTGTAACCTGAGCACAGGGCGAATGACTGCAGACCAGTATTTGGACTCCGGTATCTTGAAAGATTACTTCCACCATGTTCCTAATTATCTTCCAATCCAGCTGATTTCCTTCTATCTTCGGCATGGCTAGTTCCTGTACATTGGACTCCTGTACGTGCTCCCTTAGACTAAGTAATGCTTTCCATTCCTGATCTCGGAAGGTGTTCTTCTAAGATTTATAGATGTTTATCAAATATCTTTCCCAAGACTATGATGTCATCTAAATACACCAGGCATGTTTTCCAGGATAACCCTCTCAATACATTTTCCATAAGTCTTTCAAATGTCGCAGGGGCATTACATAATCCAAATGGCATATCACTGAATTGTCACAATCCAGATCCGGTGGTAAAAGCTGTCTTTTCTTTATCTACTGGGTCCATTTCTACCTGCCAGTATCCAGACTTCAAGTCTAAGGTAGAAAATAGTTTACTTCCGGCCAATGTGTCCAAGGTATAGTCGATACCAGGTAAAGGGGAAGTGTCTTTCTTGGTAACATTGTTTAACTGACGGTAATCCACACAGAACCTCGTAGTTCCATCCTTTTTCTGGACCAGGAGTACCGGAGAGACCCATGGGCTGGTAGAAGGTTTTTCCTTTATTTCCTTAACAATCTCGTCTCGTTTCTGTTTACGATTCTTCAACTATGACTGGTATAAATGCTCCAAGTGTTCGTGGTCATATCGCATATTGATTCTCTTTTTAAGTTGTTTAAAATCATCTCTTCCACGGGTATAGTCTGAAGGACATCCAAAGCGTCTCCTCGAAGGGCAATGGTCAAATTTATTGACTTCTCTCATTCAGACCACTCGTTTGCTCTGGCAGCTGTTTAGAACTGCTTAAGGTAGTTCGTCCAAGACATCTTCTTGTCAAAAGTTGGGGCTTTAACACGAGGAGAGTTTACAGCTCCTTCCAATTTCAACTCCACCTCATAGCACTTAATTTCAACGTCCTTGGCCGAGTCTGAATGTTCCAATTCTTCTATATTCTTTTCTATTTCTTTTATTTTCTCCTCAACGGAAGACATTTTGTTTTCCACATCAACAGAAATTTTATTATTTAAAGAAAACATTTCATCTTTCAATAAACAGATTTTGTTTTCCAAATCGGAAGAAATTTCTGTTTTTAAAGACGATATGTCAGAAGACACCTTTTCTTCCAAAGAAGCAACTTTACTATCGTGACTCCAATTTTATTATATTAGAAATATATCTATGTTTAAAGCGGTTGGAGTTTAGATTACTATTCTCAACTTCTCTACACCACACCTGCCTTAATTTGGATTACTAATTTAGTATTTATAATATAATCAAAGATCTATTTCAAGAACTATCAACCACAATAATATACCAAAAGACGTTCAAATAGCGAACGAGCTTTTGCACTATATGTACGCACCTCGAATGCGTACACACTTGGGTAGATTGTAGATTCTATCCGATGCCAAATTCAACTCGGCTCAAAGTAGAAGAGCTGGAAACGGAAAGTCTGCGATAACGACAGAATGATTGCTAGGGGATGGTTTGGTCAGATAACGTTTCTTGGCAAACAGAAAACCTTTCCTACTATTATTCTCGCGAACTTAATCGCAGTGGCGTAGATGCTGTCGTTAGATAAATTATGTAGCTTAGTTTTAGTTTTGCCATCCTTTAAAAGAATAGCAGCAGTATTAAAAAAATGTCTGTTGTTTCAGAATTGACATACACGGCAATCTAATGAAATTGAGACATCCAGTACCCGTGTTTCAATGCATAAAATTAGTTTCAATAAAAATACATTTACTTTTAAAAACACTGTTATTTAAAGTATTTAAGTTAAAACGAAAATTTTGAAAAATAATAATGTTCTCGATTTAAAGTCAAAATTGGAAGATCAGAGCTTTGATTTCAGAGTAATCATGACGGCGCACATACACACAGATGACCAGATGAATTTTGTTTAGCATTTTAGAAGGGGTAAGAAACTGATATTATTAATATTAGCCGTGGCGTTCTGGGATAGATTGACAATGATATATGACTTACCTAGTGGAAATACGCCACTACGAACAATGCCATTTAATGAAAAAATTCATATAGTTTGGTATGGGGTCCTCTTTTTTCTGTTTATTTATATTTTTATTAGATTGCACAGATCCTTAATTGATGCATTGATTACAGTTCTCGAAACATTTATCCATTGATTTTAATAAACAATTTAATTGAAGGGTTTAAAAATCTAAAATGGAAGAAAAACATTGTAGGTCCCGAATTTTCTCTTATTAAAGTTGTCAAAAAATCGATTTTAAGTTGCTGTCTTTAACCACGCATACCATATAAATAATTTTGTTTTTAATATAAAAAAAAATAATTCCCCAAGAAAATTTCATTTTTTGTACGTCTCTGCTTTAAATAACAGGTATGTAGAAAGAAAGTACTGACATTTGTTTGACTTGCAACCACTTGCTTACACACCGCCAGAGTTTGCTGATTCCTCAGACAGATACCTGCTCCTATTTCGTTTTTATTTATTTTTCCTATTTTTATTGGAACAGATGTTTCACTGCAACGTATATTTTTGTGAGAAACGATGTAAGAAAAGAAGTAAGAATATTTGAAATTCGTCGAAATACATATAAAAGATAATAATTTATGTAAATGATACATCCCGTATTTTTTAGTATTATTATATATTTAAAAAGGTTTTCTGATTATAAAGCACCCGGTACAGATAAAACTATAACCTGTATATATTTGTTTTTATAAAAGAAAGTAGAGAAATTGGGTACCAAACAATAGAGAAGATAGAAAACATTAAAAAATTTCAATAATCTCAACTCAATTAGTTTATTTTAATTAGTCAAAGATTTTATTAGAAAAACGATTTGTTTTTCATAAAGACTTTTACAGATTCAAAACATTAAATGAAGTAAATAATTTGCAAATACTTATCCATTCTGATTAATATTAAAGCGATTTAATTAAAATTTTAATTAAAACTTTATTGTTTAAATTAAATTAGGTGATATAGATTTTAGATAATTACACAATGTGGTATTAAATTTTGAAAATTTATAATAATAATAGTTTAATTTAGTATATTTTTTTAGAAGATTCTATCTCATTGATACAATATTTACTTGAAAATAAACAAAAAATATTATTTAATTTAACCCAAATAAATAAAATAATTTTCAACAAAAATGCTAGATTATTAAGTTTAAATAAAACAAAAAAATGGACAGATAATAAGAAAAAATTGAATGTTCATCAGATTAAGTTTACTATTAAACAACAAATGTTTTTCTAACCTCGATGATGAAATATAAATACTCGAAACGTGGCTTGATCTGAGATTAAACATTTTCTTTAATAAAATTAATTCTTTATTAAAACGAACTCTCGGTATATAGAATCCAGAAATAACCCACTTTTTATGTGACTAATTCAAGCTTAAATTAGTAGACGACTTGGGAATATTTAGTGAAAGATAAAAGCAAAGAAGACAAGGAAAATGTCACTTTATTTCAGTTACAGAGTGGGATTGAAGTATAAACAGTTAAAAAATGTATATTATGAAGTAAAGACAAGAACAAAGAGTTTTTTATCAAAATTGTTTTAAATTTTAAATTATTAAATTAATAATATTAATAATAATAATAATAAGGTTTAAACTTATTTATTTAACTAAAAAAAATTAGGATATATAATACTTGACATTCTATAACAAACCCCCTGTAACCCCCTTTAACCCCCATTTTCAATCAGGTTTTTTCAGATTCAATAGGCCTCTTATAAAGCTTGATTTTTTCTATTTCAATTTAATATAGTTTTTTTTTATTTCTGAGTTACAATTTTTTTTCAATATTAAAACCCCCTTATCCCCCATTTTTATTCAGATTTTTTTTTCAGATTCAATTTCCCTATAGAGTTTGATTCTTTCTAAAAATGTTCACGATAATATCGCTATTGGTTTTTAATATATATTTTTTTAATTTCAAGGGGGTGTGAACCTCTCCATTTTTAATCAGATTTATTTAAAATAAAAGGATTTCTTACCCTTATATAGCTTGATTTGGCTAAAAATTTCAAGTTAGGGTTTTTTATATGCCTTTGATCTAAGCATTTTTTATTCTTCAGTACTTTTTCACGAAGAGAGACAGAAAGTCCCACCAAAACAGCAGCTGGCCTTGGTTTGGTTGGATCAACGTTTTTATTTGACACTCGATGACACTTTTTAATTTTATTAACATAAATATTTTTTATTTTGTTAATAAATAAATCCATCATTAAGTTCTGAATATTTTCGATACTATTTTCCTGTGTACCAAAAAATCTTAAATTTTTATTTCTCTGATTTTGTTTTCCAAATTCAGTGAAATATTTTCCCTCTTTAAAATTTTTACATCATTAGATGAATCAGAAATAATTTTTTCGTACTTATTGCAAAGTATTTTTATTAATTTTTTTTTATATAGGTCTCGTCATTTAAAAAGTTTTTGGTTATTGCTTTAAAAATGGTTGTTATTTCGTCTCTTTTAATTTTTCCTTAATGATTTTTTTAATTTCAACCCCCCTCAATCCCTAAACATTTTTAATCAGTTTTTTCAAAATTATTTGTCTACCTATAGAGCTTGAGTTTTGCTACAAATTTCAAGAAAGATATCATTTTTCGTTTTAGAGTTAGGATTTTTTAAACCCCCCTTAACCCTCCATTAATATTTACATTTTTTTTTTTCAACATTAAAAGACTGTGTCCCCTTATAGAGCTTGACTGTTGCTATAAATCATTTTTCGTATTTGACTTATAGTATTGACAAAAACTTTTTTAAAATTTGTTTAAAATTTTATGAGAAAGATTTTGGTACAAAATTTTTTAAATATTAAAAATTTTTATTTTTTTAAAGTAAACCTTTAATACTCTTTACATAAAACTGTATGAAGGGTATAATAAGAATTAAAACAACATTTTCCTACTCCAATTTGTGTAAAAAATCTACATTGATTTTATTCATGGTTTTAATCACATAATTTGTTTCATCTAATATTATATTGTTACAAAAAATAATACACAGCTTTAGGTTATTTAATAACCAAATAATTATTCACATCAGTTTTCAGTAGTAGTTTTTGGAACAAGATCTGGATGTTCTCTGTAAAAAGTGTCCCATTCCTGGGTATTCTCGCAGCGCCATCTCCTTTGTTCTTTACCAAGTTTGTTCTCAGAGCACCATGTCCCAGTATAATCACTCAGTATACCAGTAACAGTGCCACTACAATCACAATGAGGGTATTCTGGAATGTTACATGGTTTACTGTGCAACAGCATTATCCCATCACATTGAACTTTTCCATCATTTGTCTTAGTCGGTTTGTATCCTGTCCCACATTTGCAGTCACTTAAGACGTCAGCAGACGCCATTGAAATTGCGATGAAGAAAGAAATGGTTGCGAAAAATTTCATTTTGTCTGTAACAATAATATTATTATTATTATACAGGGTAGATTTCTAGAAAATTGGATGTAGGGAAAATTTAAATGTTTGGGAATTTAATAGGCGTCTCAAAGCCTATTCAACTAAAATATTTTCATCTATTGATTCTACTGGGTACTTCTAGTTATACTGGGAATCAACCTTAAGTCGTTTATTTTAAATACAACATCCTCTATTTGTTACGTTTTTGGATTTTTCTCAAGATTATAGGCAAATTTTATTCATTATTCTAAGCGGTTTTGATATATAAAAGTTTGTCTAAAATGACGATTACAAGATCTAATAAAGAATCTTTTATTACTTACATTTGGTTGGATTATTTGTTTAAAATGACATACTTTAATAATTTTTTTATATTTCGATAACTAATCATACAGGATGTTTAAAAATAAGGTTTAAAATGAGATTGGAAAAACTGTCAGAAATCAAATTTTTTAAATAGAAACTCCTATTTTTACGTATTGTGTATTATTTAGCATCAAAAATAAAAGTATCTGTATAATTTTTTCTACAGGATGGTCCATTAATAATTTATATTAGTTTAACTTTTGATATTAAAGAAGATACTAGGTATTATGGTAGATAATTTATAAAATAAAGTGTATACTGTTACTTTTTACCTTACGTATTTCAATCAAAAATATTATATATTGCTGATGTATTTTTTAATATTAGAAAATTATTCTATTAAAAATTTCGTTTTCAAAATATACAGTATGTTCATTTAAGTTCGCAGCCCTCTTCATATTAATAATATTATTGCTTTAAATAAGCATCCAGTCATGCTCAATTAAAAACAAACATGTTTGATAAAGATGATTTTAATAATAAATTTTTATGAATAATTTCACAATAATTGAACTTAAAATTTCAACAAACAAAATTAAAATCTTGAAGTAATTTTTTACCTAACCAAATTATAGTACCTATTTAATTAAACGTCATAAAGTGATTGTGGTTGTAAATAAAAAATATCTGACTTACCTGTGTAACACTCAAAATCAATATGTATAAAAAACAACAGTAGCAAACGTTAAAATATTCTTAAATCAGTCTCCTTGAGAATTTTAATTATTAAACAGAAAAACCACAGATGTGTCAAGTAATTGTTAGTTTTGCATATTTATATAACGATTTTCCAATGTTATTAAATTGTAATTTTATCTGCAAATATTTACCAGTCAATTTAACCTTTGTCGTTATAATGATAATTAATATCATAATATTTGTAAAATTATTAATATTATTATATTTATGGATGTTGAACATATTAAATGAGTTGTATAAAAAGAAAAACCCATGACATCAACCAAAACAAATTCAATAATAGTATCATATACTACTCTTATTTTAAGTTTCTTTAGAGTTAAATGTGATCTGTTTTTAACATTAGTGTTGGTTTAAAATAATAACACAGCTTACAGATATATGGATATTTTCAAGTAGATAACTATTTGTAGAATCGATATAGAAAAATATTAGTGCATTTTAACCAGATAATTTTTACCTAGTTCAATGGATATAGGGTACAGCATACGATAACATATATAAATTAAATTGTGTAGGTATTGTAGAAAATGTTTTGAAAATAGGTGTTTAGTTGTGATCACTAGTTGTGATTTTTGTGAAGGTATTTTATATTTATGGAAATTTGGTCAAATAGGTCAGTGATATTGTTTAAGGCTACTAAGCCATGGTTTTAGATTAAATAAAATATATAATGCTCCCTTATAAATATCTTAAAATAGTCTAAAGTCAAAAATATTTAACAAATAAACGATTCAAAAAACATAACCTCAAATGTCAAGCGCTTATGTCGCTAACAAATAAATAAATAAATGGCTACGGGTATAAAAATTACCCCAGTGGCATGACCCTGTCGTTAATAAGCGACTTAGGTAAACAATTTGGTTTCTGCGACTGTCATTGTTGCAACTTAAGATGGCTTCTTTTCTTCTGAAACGGAGTCTAAAGACATATCAATGGATTTTTAGGCTAGTTGGATGTTAAAAAATATTTGGGTCAAACTTTGTTCTATTTTCTAAGTGTAAAGGTTATTTTTTTGAATAGAGATGTTAATTTTATATGTACTGAAGTAATTAACGTTACTCTTAATCAACAGATGTCATTAATTAAGTCACGTGGGACTATATCATCTGCTTTTTAATTTTGTATTTTGTACTATTAAGTTTATTTATGATTTTTCCAAAAAACAATAATAACAAAAATACTCAAATTTGTTGACAGTTCTTACGAAAGAGCTCTAAAAGTGAGAAAAATGTTGCTTTTTTAATATTCTAATTTAACATTATTTACACATCACTATCATTACAACCTTTGCATGCAGTAACTGTCAATATTATTAAATATTTACTGAATTTCAAATAATTTGTTTTAAATTATATTTGAATAATTAATTAAGAGATCAAAGAACGGTTAGGCAACTAAATTATAAATATTGAATTACAGATTTGCTAAATATATGTCAATTTTAATGAGATATTACTAAAAACCATTTACCCCTCTGTCTTGGAACGATCACTATGTTTATAAAAAAGTAATTCAAAATTAAAAAAATTTATTAAAAAAAAATATAGGTTTTTTTATATATCACAAATTAAGAACTATTAAAAAATATACACAATTTTAACAAATTAGGTACATAAATGTATTATTTTCTAAACACTTTGTAGTGCTATTGCAGCCTCTTCCTGCTTCGCATCATTATCTTTCTTAGCTGACAGATACAACAGCCAATCCTGCTTGTTTTCACAGGGCCACTTTCTCATAATATTGTTAAAATCAATTTCATAACATATAACTTCTTTATCAGTTTCTAAGACTTGAACCGCGACTCCAGTACAGATACAGTTAGGGGCTTTGGTTATGCATTCTGTTATATGAAAGACATCATTTTGCCAACATCGTATAGCGCCATCTACATCTCTACGGGGTGTAGAACCGATTTTACATATGCAACCATCTGATTCCAATGAGCTGCTGATTGTAGCCATGATTAACATGAATAATACTGATGTTAGTAATTTCATTTTACCTAAAAATTAAAAACAGAATTATAGTAAGGATGCATGTATGTCTACATGATTAAATAGATTAAAATAACACTTAAATCATGAAAGTGATGAAAAGCTTTAATAGTAGAGTTTTAAGAAATCAAATAAACTGAAAATTTACACTAAATAATTAGTAGATATAAACAATATATAAAATATCTTTATGTTAATATTTTTTATTTTTAATTACATATAGTATACACATTATTTCATTAAAAATTTCTACAATTTTATTGTAAGTGTAACTTACAATATTATATATTATATATTTGTTGCTTTAATAACGGCCATATATTGTTTCACATTGGCTCTACCACAGATGCTAAATATTATACTGCAATTACACTCATACATTTTCACTATTTTTATTATTTATTTGATATTTTTGTGAATAAAATTTTAAAAAAGCCTATCATATGTGTATAAATGACTACTAATTCAATAAACATTCGATATTTTAGTAATTATAATATACAGCTAAATATTTCATCAAATATTTACTTATTTTGTTCTTAAAATATTGTTTTGGAGTGATTTGGAGTGAGGGTAGCCATATGTGAGTAGTAGGGATTAAGTGTAAAGGTTAAAGAAAAGGTCCTTTACTTCTCACAAAGTCAATTTATTGGCGACCGGTTTCGAAGTTGTCACTTCATCATTAGGCACACCTAAATGGAATGTCAAGGAGTCAGTTGTAATAAAAACAATTATAAAAGCATGAACGGACTTTAACAAATACAAAATAGAAAAAACACAAAAGAAAGTTAAACAATAACCTTGACTCACCTTGACTAATTCCATAAAGGAAGCGCTACAAAAAGTTTAACAGAACGAGTTATAAAAGTCATGTGTAATAAGTATTTTTAAAAAATTTTTTTAATGTAGGTTAGGTTAAACCACCAGATGTCTTTTTGAATAAAATAATTAATTAAAACACATTTAAGACAATTATTAACTAAACAACACAAAATAGTTTTACAAGCACAAACAGTTTAAAAAATTTTTAAGGAAATAATGTTAATTACTGAAAGTAAAAAGTAAAAAAGTAAAAATTATCAGACTGTCAAGACATCTATCTAGATTTTTAACGAATCAGTGCAGTAAACTGTAAATTTTAAATTAGCGGATAAATAGTGTACTAACGGAGGTGTTATTTACTGAAAGTGAGTATAGGTGGCGATGACAAAATTTATTGAAAGTAAAATATATTAAACTGAGAATGAGGAAGCAAAAAAATTTTTTTTTTATACTAACAAGAAAATTAGAACACTAAACAAGAAAATATGAAAATTCATATGTAAAAAGGGAAATTTGAAGCAGATAATCAAAAGAAAATTACTGTTACAGGAAACGGAAAATAGGTTGACAGTACGAATGTCAAAAAAGAAGAAAAGTCAAAATTTTTGGCGTATGACAACCACGTGGGAGAATTTGAATAAGCTAAAAATTTTTTTAATAAGATGCGAATGGGCAAAAATTAATGGAAAGAAATCTAAATTGGGAGAGTTAATTGTGGTAAGTAACTGACTGAAGATCAAATGAGTGGGGGTAAAAGTCTGAAAATAATTTAAATAAGCGCAGAGAACGTTGGGGTACTAATAAATTGAATTTGTGCATTCAGAGAGCAGGAGGGGCCAGATTTAATATTTTTTAAAATTTCCAGGTTCTCAAAGTTATTCAGAAGGAATTTATTAGAAGTCATATGCAAAATGTCGAAGCCAATGCTAGAATCAAAATCGTGACCAGTGTCTAACAAATGAGCAGCAAAGTGAGAAAAACCAGTAGTGTTAGTGTTAAGACAGCGTGTGTGTTCTTTCAGGCGTATTTTAAAATTACGAAAGGTCCTTCCCACATATGAGCATGGACAGTTCAAACAAGTTAGTTTGTAAACACCAGACTGATCCAT